TGACACTATCTCAAAATAAAAAAAAAAAAAGAATTCCCAGTGTCAGTGCTCAGGCATCAGGGTCCTCCAGGCTCCTGGGCTGCCACAGGAAGGGCTGTGCACCACCTGCCATGCATGCAGACTGGGTCTCTTATGAGAAGCTGCAAAGAGCCATGTGGAGGTAAGTCCAGACCCAGCCTTAGAAGAGCAAGGGGGATGTGCAGTCGCACCCCACCCTGCTGACTCCAGCTCCCACCAGCTTGTTGCTTGAACTTGCTGTAGTGATCCAGTGAACATCACCATCACTCTGGCTCACACTCTTGGCCTTGTGTCCATACAAGGCCCTCCACATGGCACACTGCCGGGCTGTGATGTCCCTGCTCTCTTGGAGTATCATGCTAGCAAGAAAGCAGATACTCAACAAAAAGCACAGTTAGGCTTGGCATCCGTACCATAGTGGTTATGACACCCATGCACCAAGGGTGGCAGGTTTGAACCTCTCCCAGGCCAGCTGGAACAACTACAACAAAAAAATTGCCAGCTACTTGGGAGACTGAGGCTTGAGCTCAGGAGTTTGGGGTTGGCGTGAGCTGTGATGCCATGGCACTCTACCGAAGGTGACATAGTGAGACTCTGTCAAAAAAAAAAAAAAAAAAGCATTGTTAAAATATATAGCCATGAGGAAAAGGAAGCCAGTTATGAAAACATTTTGAGTGTCTGGGTCCTATGGAGGCAGCTCTGTGGACAGTATGGTAAGTTCTGACCCCTGGGACAGAATGAGACACCTACCGTGGGAATTCTAAGAGTCTAGGAAGTGACTGAGCAGCTCATGATGCCCAGTTACTGGGAGCAGCCAGGAACGTCCCTTGGCTGAGCTCTCAGTGGGTGCCAGGATGACAGCCTGGGGGAGACAGAGCTATCAGGAGAAAAGACAAGGTGGGGCCCAGGGCCATTGGGAGATAGCTGCACCAGCCCCGAGGGCAGTACCAGCTGCCCACAGCCCAAACCACTAGAACCCCCACTGTCTACCCCTTCTTGAAGACCTAGTTCCGCCTTCCCAGCAGTGGGGACTTTAGGACCTTCAGACAAACCAGAGGGAAACTTGACTCTGAGGAGGCCAGCCAGCAGCCCACAGCTCAGCCCGGCCGCTCACCCAGTACCTGCTTCTGGCCTTTTGTACTTGAAGGCATGCAGATGGACGAGAGGTGCTGGCCATGAGTGTTCAGGACTAATTTAAGATAAGGAAAACTAAGAAGGTTTCAGTATTTCATAGTCACCAATAGCCTTCAAGCCTCACTATTTTCTCTGCAGAGCCCTCTGAGAAGGTTCCACTTTATAAACAGAAAACAGCTGGAGGGTGGCCATGGGGACCCTAACTCTTGGGGAGCAGGCTCCACCGAGCACTGCAGGGCGCTATCTCCACTGTTCACTAATAGTGGCATCAACTTGTTCGTGTGCTGCAAGGTTTTCACTCAGTAGACGCTGCACTGACAAAGCCCCAGTCGGTCAGTTTTCTACTGTTGGCTGAAATAAGTCTCCATGTCACCCCAATTCTTCCCCAGCAGAACCCTCAAGGTTTTTCCTTAAAATAGGTGTGTTTGACGCTGCACCTGCAGCTCCCCTGACAGTTGTACAAGGAGGGGGCCTGAAGCACGGGGGCTGCTCTGCAGGGTTTGAAGAGCTGGAATGCTGTCAACCACTTAGACCTCAAGCTCCATAATTTAATCGGATTTAGCACTCATTGCCAGGTCTCAGTTTTGGTGGAGAATCACTGACCACTGCAGTTTCAATCTGCCTATGCATGCTCACGTTGCAGGTTACCCCAGCAAGAAACACTCAATGCAAAGCAGCCAGTCATTCCAGAAGAGGAAGGGCTACTGTTTCCTTAGCAGTGTGTGATTTAAACCTTGAGGTCTGTTCAGCGAGTGCCCAATGATCAGACTAAAATTATTTTCCTACCAAATAGAAAAGAGACAGCAGCAGTGAGCTCTCAGTTGTTCAGCTCTGTTTGAACGATCTGCGGATGACTATGAACGTGATATTAAGCAACCATCTCAGAGCTAGGACGACTGTCTTGGCCAGTTTCTCCTTTCAAAGCTGCCTGTATAGTGCCTGCCAACTGGTCTTTGATTATTCAAATATCAATTGAACAATGACCAAGAAAACCAAACAGTGAATAATTGGCTAAAAGTAATCTGGGAGAGAGAACAGACTCAGTTCCCTTGTCTATGATGATGGCCAGGTCCACGAGTGAGAGTCTGGGACAGGGTCTGGGGTCCGTGTGGGACAGAGAGGAAGGTGATGTGGGTCGGAGCTGTAGGGATGTGGGCATGGGTTCCCCAGACCAGTGGAAGGGTGCAGGAGGCCCCGAGGTGGAGTCAGGAGCAGGGGACCCGGCACTACCCCTACACAATCTCCCACAGCATTGGGCACCCGAGTTTACAGATGCGTGGGCACCATGGGCCACGGGGCCACGCCTGGAGTCCAGGTCCTGAGGGAAGTTATTCTCACTTTCCAGAAGAGGCCACTGTCTTCCAGAAAGACTTGTGTCTAAGAGATGCTTCTTTTTAAAAAAGATAAATAAAAATGATACAGTTAAGAAATGTACTACGCTAGTGTGCCCATGTTTCTCAGCTGGACACTAAGGGGTAAAAATGGACATAAGGACCTGACTCAAGAAATAGAGAGAGAGACCAGAATAGATGGGCTGCTGGCCGTACCATCACCTCCCAGCCCTAAGCACGCAAGTGGCACTGGGAGGTTGTGCAAATACACAAAAGATGTATCTCAAAAGCGTAGGTTGAAATTGTTCATTTATTTATGAAAAAGTACACATATAGATTGCATTTTAAAATAAGGTTTAAAAGATCAGGAAAAGTGCCATCAGCTCTACGTGACTAAAGCCATTGTGAGCAGATCCCAATAGCCATGCAGACCAATGATGAACGAGGTCAGAACAGTACTTTTCTTCTTTTAAAGACCTCAGGGTTAAGGAGGAAGTTTACCTTCTCTGAAGTCACTTCCCTGTTAGCAGGAAGAACACAGGGCACGTCACCCACGGAAGTTGTGTGTTCTCACCATCCCCACACCAGCAACTGGTGAAGATGGCTAATTTGCTTTGGTAAATTCTTTCAAGAAAAGATATTTTTCTCCCAAAGCACACAAATAAATATTTATGTTAAAAACCACAAACAGTTATTTTAATTCAATCAGATACAACAGAAAAAAAACTAGTTTTTACATTCATCTTTATAGAAAAGAAAAATTTGATTTACAGTGCATATTTCAATCCTAATCTGGCTTTGTCTTCAAATTTTAAGAAACAGCATCAAGAATTATTTTGCCAACTGTCCATCACAGTTAAGTGACCAAGGTGAGTTGAGGCACTTGGCGTCCAACATCGAGGCACGAGCATAGCAGCCACAGCACCCACGAAGGGAGAGGCAGCCCCTCCCACAAGGGAGTGTCCCATCCAGACCCTCAAACGTGTCTACATTACTATGCAACAGGATGACCTGACCCGACGCCTGTGGTGAGATTTTGCACGAGCACGGCCTGGTGCGTGTCTCTCATCCCACCAGCACTTCCTTCTGTGGGAGGAGAGTCATGATCCACACACCCAACTGTTTACCTGAGGAAACTTAGGGATTTTCAATTTGGCTGTTATGCTAAAAATTACAAACCTTCCTTTGCATTCTAATACAAACTGAAATTACCACTTAACGCATATCCCCATTTCAGGACTTGATAAGTAAACTTGTTCTATTTTGAAAAGACAGATGATTGATCAGTGGGTGGACAGATGCAGAGATGGTGGATGACATGTAGGCACAGATGGTTGACAGAGATGGATGTAGACAACGGATTTGGAAAGACAGATGAACACAGAAGATGGATCAAGTACACATGTTCTATTAGAACACCGTCTGATACACCAGGGCGTGCTTGCCACTAGCATGCTGTGGTTTTTTTTTTTTTTTTTTTTTTTTTTTTTT